TAGTCAAAAAATGTAGCTTTCAATTCATATGGTGGCATCTGGCTATTTTTGTAGACGCTACTTTATACTTTTATACTTAAAGTAGTTTTTGGAGCACATACTTTTTGACTTATACTTGAGCAAAGAGGTCAAGTTGATACTTCAACTTTAACCAGAGCTTTTTTAAACTGCAGTATCTATGCTTCTACTTAAGTAACAAATGTGTGTACTTTTGACACCACTGCAAATATTAAAGTGGAGCAAAAAAGGATAATATAATGGCAATTCATTGCAAAAAGCTAAATCGGCCTCGCCTAAGAACTATTGGCCCCTTGAGGTTTGACGGCCTACCAGTGGGCTCACAATGTGTAACAAGTTGATTCGTTGAATGATTCTTTATGGAACTGAAATAATATGTGCTGATGAATGACCACATCCACCATCGGACTGTTTAAGATTCAGCTATGATCTAAAGTGACTCTTTAAGACCTCTGCAACTTTTTCATGATATGGTAGCTATATATTATCCTTTAAATATCAATAGCAGCCAGCCTAGCATCTTTTAGGATGCATGTCATACATGTTTGCATTGAAATTTTATTAACATCCTACCAAGGTCAAAAAAATGACTGATATGTTCAAAACCTCCTTTGACGAAAAAGCAGAGATGTTTTAATAATAAGTGTCCTTCTCCATCAGGGCTTTCTGAGTCGACGGCTGAAAGGCTCCATAAAACGGACCAAAAGTCAACCAAAGCTCGATCGGAACTCCAGTTTCAGACACATCCTGCCTGGCTTTAGGAGCGTAGACAATGACAGGTAAGGCATCATTCCTTCGGCTAATGCTGCATTAGAAGTTTATGTACATTATCCCCCATGTTTACATACTGTATGTGTGTTACGCTGATATTGTTTTGTAATATGATTTTTTACTAGATAGATGACTAGCAGACACTATATCATGATGAAAATGTGGAGGGTTGGAGATCTTAATGTCAGTTATTAAAAGGTCTTTGCTTTGACTTTGGAAACATTCCAGAGCATCACAGACACAAAACATTTACTCAACAAGAGTGGTATTTTGGGAGCGGAGAGCTTTCATCTCAAAATAGCTGCAGCAGGGTTTAGATGATTGGATAAAATTGTGTCACACTGTCACATTAAAGGGAAACGCTTTGTTCAAAGAAATAGTCTGTCAGAGCAAAGAACATCACCAACCTGACAGTTGGAAATACTCATGTTGAAACGAATAAACAATTCAATTACACAGCTTAATGAAAAAAAAATATCCTGTAGTCAATGAGAAAGACAGGAAGGTGAAGAATATGTGGCACACATATAGCATAGATCATTTTCCTAAAATACAAAAGGATATGTAAGTTGTTAAAAAGCATTCAAGATATCAGTGCAAGTACAATCACTATGGAGGAAAGAGTTGATAGATCAAGTCACTGATTCTGAAGAGATTCATCATCTTAAGCATATGGCAACATTCTGGAGAAACAATTTTGAAAGAGGATGAAATCTTCAGCAGACCCTGGCTCAGTTTTGGCAGCTGAGAGCCAGCAGAGCTTTGAAAGACATTAGCTCTGCCCAGGAAAGAGTTTAATATAACTTACCTGCTTAGCTGAGATTAAGTTTACTTCTTTATCTTATTCAGCCACAAAATATCTAATGACAACTGGCTTGTTCACATGGGTTAGATGAACATGTCTGTTTTTGTTGAATGTATCTCTTTTAACCATTTAAAGCCTGATCCAAGAATAAAATAAAACAGAAAATTACTTTTTTTTTTGTTTGAATTCCTTTTTTGCCCTTTTAACAAAATATGTAAAAAGAAAAAACAGAAATACATTTTTGATATCAATAATGTATTACTATGCGATAAGTCAAGATTATTTTTTGTGTAGTCTTCTACTGGCTGGTATCAGGTATATCTGATTATGTACAATAGGATTTTGAGCAAAGTTTTTACCATTAAATTATGCAAAAGGTGTCAGATGCAATACTTTTCAGAAACCGTATGTATCAAATATGATACATTTGGCATTATAGGGTTAAAAGCAATCCCTGCCTATAATAATAATCCACCAAACCTTCCCTGTATTTTGTAAAATTATTAGTAAAATATACATCATCAAACTTCATAAATAGTCATTAAACTGTATTAAATATGTGCTGAAATGTGCCTAATTTCATGAATATGATGCATATGAATCAGTTGTTTATTGCACTCTTTGGCAGTAGGAAGCTGCCTGTCATTTTCTATGAGAAATCCTTGTTTAGGTTTGAACCTCGGTCTATTGAGGTAAGCAGCGAGAAAGTAGAGCCCTGATTGGATGACAGGCCCAATACATCACTTCCTGTGAGGCTAAACCTCTTAGAGGGTCTATGGAGCAGGGGTGGTTTCCTCAAGCTGGCTGCTTGATGCTAATTGGCAATCATACTTAAGGATTTTTGACTGACAGCAAGGAGGTTTTCCTCATGAGTCGAGAGGGAAAAGTGATCATTCGGTCAGAACAGTCATCTTGTGCTGAAGTCCTGCTGTGGTTTCTAGAGTTTATATTCCAGAGAGCTCAACAACTGCTATTTCCACCCGTTGTAGTGATGTGTTTTATGTGTTTCATCATTTGTTAAGGTAATACATGATGTTTTGATTTAAATAACAGCACTAAGCCTCCCCTGGTTCAGAGAGCTGCAGCTGGTCCATGTTGATATTAAAGTGGATAATTGTGAATAATCCAGCATCGTTCACTTTATGGGAATGATTTCTGGGCTATCTTTACAGATTTTAACTAAATGTGTTTCATCTGCAAGTTAGGGTCAGATGCTTCCATTGTGGACAGTAGAAGGTCAAATACTGATAAAAACTAGTTTTAGAACTGATAAAACATTAAGCCTACAGTTCTGTTAAAAAGTGTCATCCCACCTACAGATTTCAACTGTTTTTGCATATATCACACTTATAATATTAGGCTTTTACTATCAGAGAAAGATAACCAGAGTAAATACAAAATGTTGTTTAACTGATTATTTAATTTATAAAGAAAATTAATCAACACAAATGGCTCTGTGTTGGAAAATGAACAAGGATATTTATCCTTCAGTTTGTGACCTTTGTGCATCTAAAATACACCAGCATCCACCTCCTAATGGCAGCAGTTAAAACTAAACTAATAGAATGTTTTTGAGTGGCCATGAAATGATTCAGGGATGAATCTGTTGTTGAACTATAATTTATTTTACAGGTTATTAAAGCTTGAAAAACCTTCATCAAACATCCTTCTAGTCATTTCAAATACCTTTTTTAAACAATCCCACGTAGATTTAGAATTTTTTGTATTTCTCTTTATTTGATCAGGGGCAATTAAAAAAATAAAGACACTGATCTAACAAAAGAAGAGATGTTATATGCCAGGTTATAGCAAAAATGCTAATTTCCACTTACAGTCCGTGGACAGGTTGATGTTATACTTACAAAAGATCGATTCTTTTTTTTCTGTACAGTAACAACTATAATCAGAAACTTAAAACTACACTTCATATTTCCTCCATTGTAAATTATCTTAAACTTCAAAGCCCCAAACAGAACAGAAAAAGAAATAAAGCAACTCCAACCCGTTGAATGAATGATTGCTGTTTCTGACAGCAATAGTGGTCAGATAGCAGTACAGAAAAATGCTGAAAACAGCCATTGAAATCTGCCACTTTAAATTGAAATTAACCAGATATGATGGCAGGTGTATACTGTAGATATTTTAAAGCATGTCTGTCTAATTTTGACCCATTCTATGACAATTTTGCTTCTCCTTTAGTAAATGTCATGTTTTTTCTGCAAGGTTCTGCAATCCCCCCATTTCCAGAGAGCATAAGATTGAGTTTTGTAATATTGTTCTGCTCTGTCGAGCCTTTTCCTCTATAGCTACCATTTAATAACGTTTCGCCCCCGGCTGTGATTACAGACAGTTTATGCTAACTTCTGCTAATTTGTGCAGGTGCTCAGCTGCTTGGCAAGCGTTTCCCCCCCAGGCTGCATATCGAAACCAATCCAAATACAAAACCAAGCAATTGCTGCTCTGTAACCACACTTCCTGCTTACGGTGTCCAGGGGTCTCTTTTCATGCGTGCACAGCTAACAGCTGACCCACCTAGCACCCGCCTTCTTCTGTCTTTGGGAAAAACGCCATGGTGTCCATATGTGGGGTTTAATTAAAGGAAGAGCAGGGTTTGAAGGAGATGTTCTGTTGCTTTTATTTCAAAACTTGCAGATTAATTACTGCCTCGGTTCCTACTTTTAATGAGGCATTAACATCACTGTCAAGCTATCACAAGGGAATACTAGCCGTTGTTAAGAGTGGAACACAGTGGACTTTTTCTATCCTTTAGTTTGACCGAATGAGCTCACCTCCTTTCCTTTTTCCTGCTGTCCCTCCGTACTCTCCTTACCACTTTTTGCTTATTCTTCTCTTTTTCTTTTATATTTCAAATTTGATATATTTCAGATTCATTAACCTCCAGTTTAAACCTCTGTTCTTGTTTTTCTTTTCTTCAAGCAGTTATTAAAATGTCCAAAATATCAACATTTAAGTGAGTTTTTAATTAACCACAAGGAGAAAAGGGAAAATGTAGTAGAAGATGGAATTTTATGGAGGTTTCTTGCCTCTTTTATCATCGAAAAACATACAACACACTCAAACTTCATCTACAAAAAGGAAACATACATCATAGCAGCTGTCTTTATAAATGCATGGCTCCATGATGTAGAACAAGAGAAAAAATGCAAGCCTGGTGTAATGAAGAATGAACAACAAGTGATGAACAACTAAATAAGTAAAATTTGAAGAAGATGCAGAGTTACAGAGGGCTATATGAGACGAGGCAGGGATACGCTCTGCCAGCCTGGGAGCAGCCTCGCTGCAGGGCATAAAACACTGCAGAAGGTGACAGATTCTAAAAAAACCTGGAAATATAAAGATGATGAGATATGGGAGGAAAAGGAAGGGAGTAGAGAAGGAATCTCATAATGCGAGAGTCCACATTTGTGCAAATATGCAGCCTTGACTGTGAAGGATGTGGACCTAAATTATGTATCTGCAATCATTTTATTCTAATTGTTTTGCACGAAGATGAACACAGAGCCTCAGGTGTCATCTCAAAGACATTTTTGACTGTGTGTTGTGCTTCGACGCAATGATATTCTCCAGCCAGGTTGCCTGGAGGAGGCTCAAAAAGCAGACGTGCTGCAGAGGAGCAGCAGCTGGACACAGAATGAAAAATTAATCTGTATTAATCAGAGACTGGACACACTGCAGGCCCTTCTATCTGCAGAAAAACAAAGCAGCAGCAGATTAAATGTAGCTAAAAACCAAGTTGTAAATCCTCTCCATTTGGATGATTACTGGACATTTTTTTTTTTGTAGGATTTTTCAGATGTAGTTTTTTTGTAACTACATTTCTATACATGATAATAACTTTACAGTCCTGCCAGTCTTACAATGGTAAGGACGTTTATCTGCATCCCCAAACATCTGAATAAACCCCTTATAATATATTATGTTCTTATACAAATCTAAAAAAGCTATGTATAAAAGCTCATAACGGACTAATGCTGCTTTAACAGAAGCCCTTGTGCACCGTGAAGCATTAAGTCCTGTTATTACATTTGAACGAATGCTATTCTTAAGCTACTCAAGGTATCAGGGCCAAACAAACACTGTCTGGGAGTATTTTGTGTAGTATATATTTGAATTCTGTGCAGTCCTCCCCAAGCAGTGAAAGTCATTTTCTTGGATTTTGTGACAATCCCCTAAGAATATCAT